GGAATACAATTTAGTTATGACGGAAGTAAAAAAACCATACAAAAATAGTGCTGGTTTTTGACTAATGATATGAGTAATCCTTTACTGTTTACAAATACATATTGTAAAAAATAATATCAGTTTAAGTTCTTAAGAAAAATTGAAAGATTTCATATTTGGACATAGAGAGCAAAAGAATTAATTCACGATTGATGCCTTGTGATATATTCTTGTTAGACTTTATTAATCTTTCATTCGATTCGCTTGTATGATAAACGTTATAACTTTAACGCTTTATTAAAAGCATTAGAAAAATTATTGTAAACAATAAAAAAAATATGTTATATATTTTCAAATAGATACATGTTCAGTTGCGGCAACGATGGAAATATATTCTGTTACCGTGTTTTTCCGAAGATGACGATTATGTTGAAATTCTACCAGTGAAGAGGACGTATCTGGGAAAGGTACATACTACATAATGATTGATACAAAAAGTTATGCGATAATTGATATTCCATAAATTCTGTAATATTTTGTGAAGCTTAAAGCTTTTCTATTATATATTGTTATATTCAAAAAGTCAATGAAATTATTCTTAATTATTGATCTGGAAAAGAATGCTGATTATTGAAAAACGGTTGCCAGGATTTGAATTTTATTTGATGATATTCAAACTAATCTATTGAATGTATTGTCAGTATAATACTGTCAATATTATTCCAATCCCTTGAAGTTATTTTTATAAATAACAATTATATAGTATATCTTTGTATAAGTAAATTAATTAATTAATTGTTTAATAAAACTTTGAATCTAAATATAAATATTAGCCTCCAGCTCAAGTACCAGATATAGACGACTCCGATCAATTATCTTTGGAAGGAGTTAAAAATAAAGCCGAATATGACGAAAAATGAGAGTGGCGAATGAAAGAAAAAGCAAAGTTTTGGCTACACTTGCTTCTTATAGAAATGCACTTAGAAAATTATTTAAAAGGTAATTTATATTTATTACCAATACCGTGCTAGAAAATTTTTAATGTATCCTTATATACAACTTGTAATAGATTACTAATAATTGTATTGATAAAATTATTAAACGAATTACTACTACTGCTACTTAAATTTGCAAAACATATAAAAATAGTAACAAAAATTTAAAATTCGATAATTATTCGATAAACAACCCCATTTCAAAGACTCCACAAGATCTTCACACAAATTATTTGACATTTTCTGTATTTTAAAGAATTTTACTTATTTAACTCCCTTTATCACATTTTGTTGCAATATTTAATATATTTTGCAATTGCACAACTCATCAATTCAAACTTCTTAGTAATCTTTGTATATTACAGAAATCGAACTTTGCTGCCATCCCAAGTAATACCAATAGAAGACTTTGAAATAGATGACCGAGTGACGTGGGATTTGGATGAATCTTTAGAAATGGAAATGGAATTAGTGGAGAGAAAGATGGCCTTCGACTTGGCAAAATCTACAAGGGCATTAGAAAAAGCAAGAGAGTTCTTTATAGATCCAATACGAAATTTACAGATAGAACTGCGAGCAATCAAGTAATAATATATGTTTTAGCAATGAATATCCAGTTTTAGAAAAAAAATCTTGATAAAAGATCTTAAACTTTATCTGTGTTTTATAGTAGAATGTCTACATCGATTGGTAATTTTTAAGGCATTTAAAAACTTAACAAAAATTTATTATTACGTTATTTTTACGTTTCCAATAAAATCGGTAAAAACACTATACAAACCAAAAACAATTACATAAAATTAATGTAATATGTGAAGTTTAAATTTTAGGGTGGTCCTTAATATGGACATTTTCGAATTTTCTTGCTCCCAAGGGCTCAAATGGTTCCAAATTGATAAAAAATAATTATCTCAAAGTTTTAGCTCTTAATATTGTTTTTTAGATAGTGCGCAATTTAATCAAAGTTTTGTATGGAAATAGCACGACAAAATTTTCAAAAATTTTTAAAATGTTTTTAGATATAATTTAGCGACAAATGAATGAGTTTCATTCAAAGTTTGTCGCTAAGTCATACCTAATTTTTTTTTTAATTTTCAAATTTTTTTCCATGCTATTTCCATACGAAGTTTGATTGAATTGCGTACTATCTAAAAGCTAATATTAAGAGCTAAAACTTTCAGAGAATTGTTTTTTGTCAATTTGGAACCATTTGAGCCCTTGAGAGCAAGGAAATTCGAAAATTTCCATATTAAGGACCACCCTAATAAATATATAATACCAATAAATAATACCATAAATATATCGATAAATTTACTTTTGCAGAAGTAACCACTCTGTGAAAACATTCCGTGTACGAAAGCTAGATTCACATTTCTTCGATGCAAAATTCGAAATAATGTCTAAATTACAAGGACCCGTCGTGATAGGCAGGTATAAAAACCAATAAAAATTAATACTAATATTTGATTTATAAATTAATAATAACATTTTCTAAATTCATGAACATAGAAATTAATAAAAAAGAAGAAACTTCTGAGTGAGTACTGAGATAAATTTCAAGTAATCTGAAAATGCATGGTTTTTATATTTATTTTAAACTGGGTGCACTTTCTTCCACTTGTAGTTCATTTAGTATTCTACAATATTCTTAATAGAGTTTACATTTTTTCTCATGTTTTTGTCTATTATAGATGCACGTCTATTTTCAGTATTTAGTAATTGCTTCTTTTTATTCAAAATCAAAACGCAAAACGCAAATTTTAAAACGTTGTCTTTGGCATTTGTTTTTAATGCACAATCAAGGATGATTACCATAGCACAACATGATACCTTTGTCTAATTTCACTTGTAGATTTTAAAGCAGCAATCCAGGCAACTCAAATGAATTCCTAAGTTTTGTGAGGCAATTGAAGCAGATTGATTGCAGCCAATAGTAAAGTTATTAAATAATAAAATTTCATTATTTGGCAAATGCATTCATATCGAACTGATGTCCTCACACATCTTTTTGAATTCAACAGTTGAGTAAGATTATGCCCAAATACGGATTCTTAATGAATTCATAATGCTAGTCAAATGCAATATTGAGTTGTAAACTAAATATCAAAGTTCAAATCAATATGAAGATTTTATAGTATTTACCAAATATTGGTCCACAGAATAACAGAAGAAAAACAAGCATTTAATATACTGGATCGTGAGATTACACATCGTGTGGGCAAAATTGAATCATTTTTAGTCGGACTATCAAGTTCTACAATTGAATTTGGCCTGGGCACAGAGATCAATCGAGTTCTTAAAAAGTACCGTGACAGAAGAGTTAAAAAGGCAAATAGGCAATTGCAGGTAATCATTTTCAGTAATTATATATACTAATAAATATTAAAAAAAATTCTAAATCTTTATGAAATTATATCATTAATACATTTTTATAAGAGTAGTGTTTGCATTAATGTAAATATGAGAATATTCTAATAAATGCTCGTCTACAAAAGGAACCAAGACATATGGAAAATTCTGCTCACAAAGATGTATTTATGCATACGACGTTTTCTTTCGAATTTTGAACTATTCTGATAAACTATTTATTTTACCTATTGTAGTGGGATGAATTGAACGCTGTAAAACCAGATCCAAATAAACATCATCCTGATGACTTAGCAGCTTTGGAGCAAGCCAGAAAAACTATTGGTGATTACAAATTGAAAACTGATGATGACTATAAAGTTCCTGAAGAAGAAAAGCATACAACCTTGACTAAGTATCAGCAGCTAATAAACATACGAGAAGAAGTGAGATAATTTTAAATATCAATAGTTTTAATAATCATTCAGTTTATCAGTGAAATGACTGAACCGACTTTATCCATACTTCTGTAACGTATATTTGCCAAAATAAAACTGGTTAATTAATAATGGTAATGGTACACCTACACTTATTTACCCGTATTTGTAAGAAAAATATAAAACTTCAAATTCCGGTTTCATACATAATTATACACTCTTTGAGCCTTTACTTCTAAAATTATCTATAAAAATGTAATAATATAATATAAATCGATCGTGACCGAAAATTATGCCCTTAAATAGATGTTCAAGCTGCAGAATAATTTCAATGAGCAAGTATTTGAACTGAGAGAGAGCAAACTGATATTGACGTCCAAAATTGTTGCACAGAAGGCAGAGTTACAAGAAATTCAAGAAGAACTTTTGCCAGAATTTGTCAAACCATTACCAATTCCACCAGAAATAGATGTAGATACAGAATTTCCAGAAAGGGCTTTAAAGGTATTCGATTTTGTAACATTGTGTTTAAATTCAATTTTTCAAGAATATCCTATTTATACTTGTTTTATGAAATTATGAAATTTATGAAAGCATATTTAATGTACTTAGTTATTAAATTTAGGTTCGAATTATTACAACGGATCCAGCTACTGGTAGAAAACGACGAGCTTCCACAATTTATGACCGTGTAAAACCAGTCGTTCGTGGTAAAGATCTAGAAAAAGAAGTCCTCGGTGTACATGGCTTTGAGACTGAAAAAATTATTGCTCTAATGGAAAAGAATGAACCAAGTATTATTTTTTGTAAACATACTAAAATAAAAATGCAGTAGTTTTATAGTGAAGTAATTTCCTAAAACTGTTTGATCAATCATCAGTTGAATTTTATCAATTGATAGCAGCTCAATTTAAAGTATTACTTTATATCAACTAATTAGAAAATTATTCAAATCAGGGTTTATTGTTTTTTTTTATAGAAACTGTTGATATTCCCTCCTTAACTTTGGACTCATTGATATCAATGGCTCAAACTGATGAGTCGGAAACTCCGTGGGAATTAGAGCTCAAAAGACTTCGCCAGAATAGGTATTATAAATTTGTAAACAGTTCAATTTATTAAATTAGTCCTTAAAATAATATGAAATAAAATAAACTTTAAAGTTTAAAAATCTATTGCAAAATAGGTATTTTTTTAATTTTGTTTAATAAAAGTAAAAATTTAAATATCTTGAAAATAAATTTCTTACTATTTTTTATTTTCAATATTAGGAAAAACTATGAACAAACTCGGATTCTAAACGACATCGAGGAAAGTATCAGAATGTTTGACGAAAATGTTGCCTATTACGCTGAGCTGAGAATTACTTTAGATGTTCATGTAAAATACCTTGAATTATTTCTACTTACATTACATCAAGAATTAATGATTTTAAAAGTATGTATTACATTTTTATATAATTAAGCTGGCACTTTGTAGTATATTTTTTATTTAATACATTTTAAATTCCGAACTCAGGAGTTTGAAGCAAATGAAGTACTAATGCTCGCCAAAGTTCAAGACAAAATAAATGAAAAAAATGCTGTTGTAAAAAAACAAAATGAATTAAAGTTTAACATAGAAGCAAGGCAAAGATTAATGTTGCAAAATGTGGAGGTACAGAAAAATTTGCAAATCAATTTCATGGCTGCTGTGGCCGATAATAAATTCGTAGATTATTTAAAAGGCATATTCAAGAAAAAATATAAACCACCCAAAGACGTGAATGACGGTACATGCATATTATATATTAGCAGTATTTAGACAATTTGAATAAAACTGAAATTAAAAGTATAATTCATCATTAAATACAATTTGTTACAATTTTCACTTTTTTCATAAAAAAGATTCTACACACTTTTATGTTTTTATGTTTTTAGAATCTGATGAAGAATCTTCTGAATCGAGTGAAGAGTCATCAGAAGAAGATTTAGATGCTGCGAGTTTATCATCAGGTGATATCGGATTAATAAAGTTAGATGAGTCCGTTTGTCCTGAAGGATGTGATGTTAATCTTTATAATTTGGCGTTTGAATTGCGTGCTCAGAGGTGACACATATTTCTTTTGAAAATTATTCATAGACCATAATCTTTCCAAGCGATTTAATTCAACGATGTTATTACTTATTTAGGTACACATTTTTTTTCCTACGAATTGCATTTAATTTAATCAAACTTTTTTTAAGGAGTATGATATAAATTGAATATGCTATATATTAAATTATTTGTGAGAACTAATATGCTCAGCATTTTATTATAGTATGAGCTATTAAATCATTCTTATCTTTGCCTCTGTGACGAAATAGTATTTTATAAAAAGATACGGAAAAATTAACAGGCTGTTATTCACTTTTATTGATTTTATTAAAAGTGCTTTATTATTTTGAACAAACTACTTGCACTCACTTATTAGCGATCTGTTGCACTTAATTTTTGAGTGATTTATCTATAATATAAAAATGAATCGCAAAATTTGTTGGTAAGTGCATAACTCAACAACGCCTGGACCAATTTGGCCAATTCTTTTTGTAAAATGTTTGTTGAAGTTCAAGGATGGTTCTTACGGCGAGAAAAAATTAAATAATTGCTGGGAAAACCCTAAAAACAGCCCTTTTTTTCACATACAAACGTTAGTATTTTCATATTGTTGCCATCGGATACGGAATATTTACTCAAGTCAATGTAGCGTTTTGGGTCTGAATTTTTTTACTGTGCTTCAATTTGTACGAAATTTTGAAATTAGGTTTATCTCACTCTCAAGTTCAAAAGTGAAAATAATTTAGACTCTTTTGCCATTTCCCAGGGGGATATATGTATGTACATTGCGGTATAGACTGTAGTGTAAAGAAACATAATAATTTTTAACTAATTGGATTATTAAGAAAATTGGAACTTTTGAATTGTAAACATAAGTACAGAACAATGTCTGTCGGGTCATCTAGTTTTAAATAAAGTTTATAAATTTTCAAGACATGAACTGGAAATGAAAGAAAAAGAAGAACAGCGCCAAATAGATCTAACAAATAAAGAAGTCAATGTTATGGACAAACAAATTCGGGTTATAGAAGAAGCATTAAGAGTAAGGCGCGAAGAATTAGCAGCATATCAAGTAAAAAAAATATTACATAAAACATAAAATAAAAATGATAAGTGATTTATAATAGTTATAATAATAATTATAGCGACTAAAACAACAAAAATTGAATGATGTGCAAACAACTGTTGTACTGCGACTTCACCAAATACAAAATTTATCATCTGATGGTTCCTTAGATTCTTTTGAGGATAGTTTGGTTTTTAGCAGAGGCGCTATTGGCAGTTTATTCACCAGAGTAGGAGAATTAAAACATGAAACTGAATTACAAAAAGAAAAACACAAGTAGGTCATAGATAGATAGTTACACATGTGCTATAAGTTTCAAGAAGAAACAATACTCTTGAAAATATTATTTTAATAATATGTGTTGCTATATGGATAAGATAAAAATCGTTAAAGATTGTTTTTCAAGCTATTCTTCAAAATCTTGAAAGTTTAGTTTTTAAAATAAAACAATATTTGTTGAATTCCGATTCCCAAGTTATTTTCATTATATATACAAAAACTGAATAGCTTAATTATTCAATTATTTAAAATTCAAAGGAAAAACCAACGTCATTTATGGCGTATGAATCAAGATTGTTTAGTTATGGAGGAAAGAATTCGTAAACTACGTGAAAGTATTGCAGAAGTAATGTATAGAAAATTCAATCAAATTATAGATTTAGATCAATTAGAAGAAGCAATTTTGAAGAAGTTAGTACACGATCTAAGATTTCGTATGGCTGATGTGCAAAAATCATATGATAAAGAAATTGCTAAATGGAAGGTGAGAGTTTGATGTAGAAACAACTATTTAAAATAAATAAAATGCTTATTATAACAATATAATTTACAAAAATTAATTATATCACAAAAATAATTCTATCGGTTTTATGGGGCGATTGTTAGCAATTCAATCTTTTACTAATTGTTATGTTTCGATAATGATTTGGCTATTTCTTCAAATTTATTTAATAATTTTCCTTTTTCCATTTGGGCATTGTTGTGACTATTAGTTATTTCACTTATTCAAGCAAAACTTTAAACAATAATATATTTTAGCAAACATTATGCACAAAGCAACTAGAAATGTCGAGTTCATTAGAACAAAACACGGAAAAATTAGAAGTTTTGACAGTCTTGCAAGAAGAATCTCTGAAACTATCAAAAATATTGAAGCATCAAGCAGCTAGCAAGGAAGTCATATCAAAGGCTGATGAGATTGAAAAAATATATAAGAGTGATATGAAAGAATTGAAAAGTATAGAAAAAAGACAAGAAGAACAATTGATGGTAATTAGACAAATACAATATAACATTTCAATTTTTGATTTGTTAATTTGGATTAAATAGTTGATTTTTTGTTATTATTTATTATAAGTGTTTAAAGATAAATCGATTCTACACCAGTTTTGTTCCCTATTCTCGCTTACAATTTACTTACAATCCACTTTCCAACCTTCTTCAATTTTTTCATGTGATTCATCGGAGCATTGAAATATCTATTTTCAGTCATTTTTGTTTTTAAATTATTCCTTTGAATAACGAGTCACTTTTTTAACGATATGAATGAAACTACAGTCTAATTCCTTTTCTTTTTCGTTTCATAATTTCATTTTCTAGGGATGTTTTTAACCAAATGTGAAACACATAGTCCAGTCATTTAAGCTTAAATTAGGTAAGAATCTCTAAATTCGAGATACCAAGCTGTAAGTCTGTAAATACTTATATATTGATACCCTAAAGTTGTCTCAAAACTCTACCATATGTAGGTTTTGGGACAACTTTAAGATGTCAATATACAAGAATTTACAGACTCACAGCTGGGTATCTCGAATTCCGAGGTGAACTTACTATAATGACTGGACTATTATTATTTGTGTGACTTTGTAAATCCAATTCATCTCTATACAGGTATCGCCAACCTTTCTTACTCTGATGTACATAATGGAATGATAAAAATGTGGTATCTCGATAATTATCGAATGTAGTAAAATATAATAAACGTAGAATATAAATGCTAATATTTTTATTGGTAATTCATAGAAATTACGCCAAGAGATACGCCGTTTGAAACTTAAATCTGAGCCACTGCCACCAATTACGACGCGACCAAAAACATCAGTGAAAGTAGCTTCTGAAGACTCATTTTCGTACTTTTCATTTAGCGATTATCCACCACCACCCAAAAAAGAGTAAGTATTCTAATTCATTTTAATTTCTTAGTCATGGTTTTCTTAAATACTATTATTGTGATGTTCTACATATGGAACAGTATAAATAAACGACAGTAAATTCCAATTCAATTCAATCCTCCAAGAACTCAAAAAAGAAATCATCAATTTTACATTATGTAAAAAGCTAGTACTATTTTGAAAATTTCAAATTCGCAGTTTAACAAATAGTCTAAAAAAACTTGAGGCAATTGAATCAATTTTGACAGTGGTCCGAGAAATTTTCTTTACGGTTGCGGTTTCAATGTTGAAATAAACAAAATAACAAAAATTAATCACCATATCTGAAAAATGGTCAAAGTTGGACTAAAGCTCTAGGTTGCACTTAAAAGCTAATAATTTTGTACACTGTAAGGAATAAATTTATTTTCAATTTTTTCATGACAGTTACTATAACCTTCTGCTGGATTGACGTTGAGTTCTGGGACACCTTGTATAATATCAATATAAATTATACATTATCTAAGCATAAGCATAAAGAAAAAAGAGTGCGATGAAAAAGAAAACAAACATATTATGTTCAAAAAGTATTTAAGTAAAATTTTAAGCAATTTATACCTACTTTTCAGGTCTCATTTACATGTACTAGTAATTCTCAGATATATCTGAAATGTTCTTTCTTTCAAATTTGTAAAAATTAAGGAATATTAATAGTTTAGAAATTTAATGGATTCATTTTGATATTGATATAAATACCCACCTATGAATTTATTTTTTTATTGCTTATTTTTTAACTTTGTACACAAGTACATTTAAATTTAATTGTTTGTTTGCTGCTTATTGTTATATTGAATTCTGAAATTTGCTAATAAACACTTGAACTATAATACTGATTTAACTTTTTTTAGGCCAAGATACAAAGCAATGTATAGTGCTTTCCACATTTTCTACAACTTAATAGACCGTGTAGGTGGACAAATAGGTTCGAGCATGTTGGTTTCAAGAAAAATTGTGAAGGAACTAATGAATTCGGTTGATGGGGCCGAATTAGCACATTCTACCATCGAAGATATTTTATTTCAGGTATAAAACTATAATATTATATAGTAACATTATGAAAAATTAATAACCATTTTATTTTTTTTTATTCAACGACAACATTGATTTTTCCCTCTATAAAATAGTTTATTAAATCCATTACTAAAAAATCTTTTATATCCCAGGTAAATAATGAGCTTGAAAGCATTGAAAATTACAACTCCATCAAAGAAGTGCTCCAAGAAGTTCTAGACAGAACGATGGAAGGTCCTTCTATAACTATACCGGTAATTAAAATAATATTTAAAATATTGAGAAATATTTTTGAATGAAAATATTCTTAACAGATTATAGACGATATACTAGTAAAAGTTATAGAACAAACACCAGAATTTATAATGGTAAAGAACCTGGTGGATCAGCTTCTTTCCCGAGTAGATATAGAAGCACATAAGGAAAGATTTGATTTAGTAAAAGATATTTTAAAAATCATATTGGATCATTTTCCTACAGACAAGTAAGCCAAATACTTCAACCATTAGCGCGATTTCTAAATTTTAATATACCATTTTTATATTATTTATCTAGAAAAACTATTGAAGATTTAGAAGAGTCGGTTACAAGTATGGTAGAACCTATGAAAAAAGCTATACCTTCAAAAGTCGTTGAAATGACTCCACAAGAAGAGCTTGAGAAACAAATTCGTAGATTGATTTATAATATTCTAGAACAGATTGAAATCATTCAACGTGAAACTGAAGTAGAAGTCGCTCAAATAATGGTGTGTACCAATAAATCATTCTTATGGAAATATATAGAATGCAAAAATTAGCGTATAAAATAAGTGGATTAAATCGTGCAGAGTGCTTTCGTACAATCCTTACCCCGAAGCATACACCTTTGTAATACTTTGAAATAAATTCATAGTCCAAGTTTAAATTAGTTAAGAACCTCGGAATTCGAGATACCCAGCTGTAAGTCTGTACATACTTGTATATTGACACCCTAAAGTTGTCTCAAAACCTACGTATGGTAGGGTGTCAATACCATATGTAAGTTTTGAGACAACTTTAGGGTGTCAATATACAAGTATTCACAGACATACAGCTGGGTATCTCGAATTCCGAGATGAACTACATCTGGTAGGGTGTCAATACCATATGTAGGTTTTGAGACAACTTTTGAGTGTCAATATCTCGTATTCCGAGGTGAACTTACTATAATGGCTGGACTATCACTATTTAAATGTTTTAATAAATTTAGTCGCCGCATATAAGACTGTTGAGGATGCATCTTCAAAACTTCTGTTGACGTTCTTCTTTTAGTATAAAATATTAATGAATTCTTATGATATTGAGGTATCATTGTGCTTCAACCATTTCTAACCATTAGTACATTGGTAACATGCGTATTGTTTTGTTCATTTTTATATCATCTATCATAAATATACAAAAGTACTAATATGAAATATTTTCAAAAGAAAGCCATATAAAATTAGTACGATGCTCATGATATCAAGGTTAAAAAAAATAAACGTCAATACGAACTATATTTCACATTATAATATTTATTTCCAGTTCCCTACAGAAGCCCCGCCGAATTTTGAAGAGATGATAAGCCAAGATATAATAGATGAAGTAATTAACAGAGTCATGGATAATTTCTCACTAACAGAGTCTGCTATGCAAATAGCCATCGAAAATGCAATAAAGGAAATGATTAAGAAAATTCCAGAAAAATTAATAAGAATTCGCTATAATTTATTCCAGGTATACATTTTAAATTAAACATATCATACGTCAGCTTCTACTTCTTAGCACCACATTTGCTATTAGAATTGTGAAAAATTTAAATGGGTTCAATTTTTAGTATTAGGGAGATCTCTTAGAAATATGTTAATAGACCAGACTTATCATTTCTCTGAAATAGTTTTAACAAGATGTCCATAAGTCTAATTTGTTTGAAATAATAGGTATGTATTATCAAACATTCTTTACAGGTTGCACGAGAAATGGTAAGGCGAATGTCCATAACATCTATGGAAATAATGCGCGTCAAAGGTGATATTATTGTCGATAATTTAACAGATTTTATCGAGCGCGAAGGACCTGAAAATCTTACTCGTAGTAAAATTGAGCAAATTGTTGGTAACATTATAACGTACATAAAAGAAGAAGCCTTGGGAGAATAGATTCTACTCAGTTATTTCTGAGTAGAATAACTTAATGACTGCAAATTTACTCTAAGGAACGGAACAAACTTTGCCAAAACATTGTCTTTGCATTTATAAATCATTGCCATAAATAAATGAAGAAACATTTCTTAATAAAATATTCTTTCGCACCTGTATAAGAATGTAAAAATGAGAGATTTAAAAATAAAAATAAAATAAAATAAATTGGAATGATATGTAGTTTGTTATATTTATATTATTATATTTATTTTCAACAAAATTGTTGAAATAAAAAACAATAAATATTTTAAATTATATGAATGTATGTATTTGAATCATAGACCTTATAAAACATATGGTCTGCTAGTGACACTTTTTTACGTGGAAAGCATTATGAGGACTAGCAGTCCATATGCATTATAAGGTCTATGATTTTAATTAAATTTTATGAATGCACGATTTATGATTTTAAATTCAGGGGTAGCCCACGCTCTACATTAATTATTACTTAATGTTTTAATTTAATAGCTAAACATAATATAACGTTTTAATTGAGCTTGCAACGAATATTAGGTTACTATATGCATTGACCCTATTCGGCTGCTTTTATTATATTCAACCGAATACCGATTACAATTATTAATATTGTTATAGGGAGATAATTAATGATATGATATAATTCGATTCGTTGCGTATATATTCATATTTTTATTTCACTTATAATCATTTAACTAGTCAAATCCAATTACTCAGTAATTCTAACTTCTAGGACTTACATGCATTGCTCCCTTTTTTTCGTAAGCCATCCCAGCTACAGAGAAAAGCTCAACACCACCATGTTTTAGATTGCATTCTTGTTCAATAATATGCATATTGGGCCATGGGCTGTAAAACTTATACAACTGATACACTTATAGAAACTTTTAATAATTTGCAGTATATTTCTAGAATTACATTGTCAGAAAAGTAAAGAAATCTTGGTATGTTGCACACACTTTTAATTATAAAAACTGTTGGGTCACACACGTCTGTACACGTTTTGGCGCTAAAATCCGGCTGAATAGTTTTCCTAATATTCGGCTATTCGGTCATGACAGTCTTCGATACACTGCTGAATAACTGTTCATAGCAAGTCTGGTTTTAATGCAGTGTCAAATTTGTGTTTGTATTTGTATCAAATACAAATTCAAAATAAAACTTCTAGATTCCGAATATCTGCAGTCTTAAATTTCAAATTTTAGTTTTGTTTATGTTTTTTCAACTATGAAGTTGTGTTAAGTTAAAGCAGGATGCCAACTCAAGCTAAATCTGACAGTTGTATCAGTAGTACCAACAGTTGTACTGCGCAAGGCAAATAAAATTTGCATCGAATAATTTATCGTTTGCTGTTATTGAGATAAAAATTAAATTATTGCTGTTGATGCTTGCATCTCAATATGTGATCGTTTATCTGTGAAATATTGTATCTGTTTAATTGTGCTAAATATATATTGACGAAGTGCAGATCTCAATAAAGGAATATTTTTGTTATCCTAACCTCTAACAAATCTTTTCACAATGGATCAAATGCTACCCAGCCCAGGGTTTTCAATTCCAAGCATTGGAACACCGCTCCATCAGCCTGAAGAGGATCAGCAAATACTTCCAAATGCTTTACAACAACAAATGCCACCTTTGGCGCCGATGGGGAGCTCCGGAATGTCGAGTTTCTCCAATATGAACATGTCAACAGGCTTAACTCCGACACAAATGATGAGCACCCCACAGAAAACGATGCACACATATTTACCTTTCCAAACTCCACAAAGTCTAATGCAACCACAAACTCCAGTAAGTTTGAGTGATTATAAGATTAGGGGTAGGCTACTAGTATTGTTGCACAACGATAGCCTAATATTAAATACAATTTTAGTGTGTGATTTAAATGACGATTAATTATGTTTTTTTGCAATGTCAGAAATTATATATAAAACAACTAAAGCCTGACAAATATTATACAAATATATACTCATTATTGTAGATTTAATAATGAGTATATAAAATAATAATAATAATATTTTATTTTTATGTTTATAAATAGTTCCTGTGCATCTTTCACTGCATTGTGGAAATCATACTTCAATTGAATGATATTTATAATTATGTACTATATCTTATTTTTTGACGTTACGTAGATTAATAGTTTATACAATTTATTTAACTTTGTATGAGCTATTAGACGTGATTAAATTGAATTGAAGAATATGAAATATTACAACTGTCTTACCTTCCATAGCAAAATATGATGTCGCCAATGGTTCCAACATTAAGTGGGCCAGCTAGTGTGCAACCACATTCACAAACAATGGGTCCAGCAACTCCTATGACACCCATGACTCCTCAGTCTGCCGATCCTGGAATAATTCCACAACTACAGTAAGTAATATGAAATGATGATTAAAAATTATAACTTGTAGGATTGGTGACATTGTATAATTAAATATAATAATATGTTTTATCTTACAGAAATATAGTTTCAACAGTGAATTTAAATTGCAAATTAGATTTAAAAAAGATTGCGCTGCATGCCAGAAATGCTGAATACAATCCAAAACGTTTTGCTGCCGTTATAATGAGAATAAGAGAACCAAGGACAACTGCTTTGATATTCTCATCAGGTAAAATGGTTTGTACGGGAGCAAAGAGTGAGGATGATTCTAGGTTGGCAGCCAGGAAATATGCTCGAATCATTCAAAAACTTGGTTTTAGTGTAAGTGTATTAAAAATATCAGTTTGCTACATGAAATGCTTTATCTATTCTAAATCACTTTTTTACTATTAAAGCTAAATTAGATTTAATTCATTGAGGAAAAGGCTATTTTTATTGCATATATATTTTGAAAAATTTGGCTTTACAAAATATATAAAAATAATTATTTTAATTATATATATTTGAGTAGCTATATTTTAATTATAAAAATATTTTCAGGCCAAATTTATGGATTTTAAAATACAAAATATGGTTGGAAGTTGTGATGTTAAATTTCCAATACGATTGGAAGGTTTAGTGCTTACACATGGTTCCTTCAGTTCATATGAGCCTGAACTATTTCCTGGTCTTATTTACAGAATGGTCAAGCCTAGAATTGTACTGTTAATATTCGTGTCAGGAAAGGTGGTATTGACTGGAGCTAAAGTGAGAGGTGAAATAATGCAGGCTTTTGATAATATTTACCCAATTTTAAAGAGTTTTAAGAAACAATAGTACTTAAGTATATAATTTTAGTTCAAAGAATTTGAAATAATTTATGACTTGGAGGGTCCAAATGTAAATAAAGTGTATAGTGTAACTAAGCCTGTGACTGACTAATATTTATTAATAATATTATTAAAATATGAGATATTACACAATATATTTAAACTTCATTTTCATATTGAATGATGCAGTTTTGGAAGTGTTATAAAGAAAATCATATGATGGTTTAATTTTCTTTAACACAATTTTTAATATTTAATATAAGATAAAAGATAACAGTGTTATTTAGTAACTTAATAAATCTACCTATTTTATATTAATGATTCATGTAAAATATACATGTAGTATAATGGTGTATGGGGCATTTCACTCAATGTCAGAACTACACACTTTTGAACGATGATGCACTCATTGTTGAGTTATTTTAAATAAATTAATAAAATATGCTTAATTTGTTTCACTTTTCATAATACTTCATTACAGAAGGCCATTACTCATATTTTATAATATCATAAAGATTAGATGAGAACACAACAAACCATCATGAATAAGTGATGTCTAATTATTCATTAGTTTGTATATACAATTTTGGTATAATTTTAAAACATTAGTCACAAAATTCTAAATACTCAAGTTCACATTGATTATTTCTGTCCCATGAATGGGGGCACTGATTTACTTGAAAAGGTTGAAAAAAGAAAATTATCAGAATGAATATGGTTAAATTTAATTCATACTACAAATTCACTTGTCACTCACCAACACAACACCACCTAAGCCTTTTCCAAATATTTTAATTAATAGGTAAATCAAACCTATGCTTTTTCCAAGATAAGTACATAGAAAGAACAAGTCAATTTCTTATTTTATTGTAATTTGTAGAAATACAATTTTTGATAAAAAATTTAAATTAAATTATAAGCAAGCAGCCATAAGAGGAGCTAAATTTTCAAAATCAATAGTTTCAGTAATATTTTTAGTTTTGATATTTTCATCTTGATTAGCAATGAATATTAAGTTGTTTTCTACTTTCTTCCAGCCATACTTCTTGATCCACATGTTCAACGTTGCATCTAAAAGTATTGGTACATTAAAAAGAGTTTTTATATATGCTATTTCGGTTCATCAATTCATTTCATTACACTTACTATCAACACCACCAAGCAAATTAGCAAGATTGGTTTGATCGATTGTTTGGAAAGTAATTCCTACAACATGACAAACGAATTTCCGGATGGAATCATTAAATCCCTGAATGCGAGAACATAATTCAGGCATTGCATGTACACGAGCCCAAAATGTTGCAAAATCACATTGTTCTAAAATATCTCCTAGATACATAATTTGTGAGATTGTCTCTTGTTGAGTCTAAAAAATTGAAATAAAGGATGTAACACAAATAGAATTGCAGGATTATTTTATTAACAAATCTACTTGATTTTGATTAAAATAAAACAATTTTGTATGATTTTATACAACTTGATAAAAAATATATTTTGTCATATGGCCATTTCTAAACTTTGCTTAAGGAATGTGCATTTAGCATAATAACAATTCAACTCAAAATTCCAACTATATAATGATCTATTTTAGGGAGGGCAAAGAATCTTTAACAGGATCGATATAAATATATGTATCATATTTTTAAAAGATAAGACTATAAAAAATTAACAATTAAATGATTTGATAAAATAAGGAAAAGAAGTTAAATATACACATATATCTATAAATAAATATACCTGTGATTCCAATAGTAAACATTTGCATAAAATGAAGTCGGAATGTGGAAAGTTTGTCAAAGCTTTAAGCAATATTTGGCAAGTAATTTCCAAGTTAAACTTTGAGGGATTGAATTGGTACATTTTAAGTACAGCAAGATTTGCTTCTAAATCATACACGTTATCCCTTGATTGTATCTCCACATATTGCTCCAAGGTAGGTAAATTTTCTGGGTTGTACCTTTTGGGGGATGAAAGCATAATATTAGGTTATGACACATGGCGTTTCTGATTCCAATGTGAGAAATATTTACCTTTCAATTCCTTTGAGCATAGAAGCTACTACTTGTTTCATAGTCTCGCCCATTTTTCAAATATAAACTTTTGTATTATTTATTTACTTCTCTAAAAGTTTTGTATATGATATTTTACCGCACCTTCACTGACAACCACTAAATAAAGAAAGAGAAATGCCTGCGTCTAACTTCGCACTGATGTTTACGTCAAGTTTTTATATGAGATGACGCTACTGTATTCATTTAAACTTAGATAATAAAATTATTATTTATTACAAATATTAAATAAAACAGCATAACAGCTATTTTCGAGATGAATTTAAATTTTACTACATTCCATCAAATGTATTATTCTATTTTGTCTATAATTTCAAATTTGTATCAATTCAAATCATTACATTTAACTCTCTTCTCAGACTCAAATATATTTAGTTTTGAGGCAATATTTATTAAATTCCCAAAAGACAAGTTTAAATTTTACCAAAAAATCTGCTATCCTAATTTCAAATATTCTCGACGTTTCAAGCAATTTGGAATCGTTTAACAAAGTATGTGTGCGTAACCCTATGTCTGTGCATATGTCTATGTGAGCCAAATTTTGACCGTTAGTAAACCTTTTCTCAAAAACAACTGCTCTGATTAAAAAAATATATATTAGAGAAAATTCAAATTTTAAATTATCGAAAAATCTTCAATTTTTGCTCACATACATATGCACATAAGCTTCACACCTTGGAATTAATTAATAGTTGTTTAACCCTTCCCACTCGCGAATTGCGAAATTCATATGTATTTTACCGCCGGAGCGGCGGCATCCGAGTCGAAGGGTTTAAACTCGATAAAAACTCACAACCATTTCTTCCTAATTGCTGAACTTTTTTGACGATTTCGATGAAATTCTGTATGATGATAGAGTTAATGGTCTAAGCAAGCATCCAAAAACATAATTGTCCTTTGAATAGTGGTTTAAGTAACTATAAAATAGACCATGGAGACATATAAAACGCATAATGCATTGATTATCATTTAGTTATAAACAAACACTTAACAATTTTAAATATATTTATTTATTTATTTATTTATTTATATATTTATACGCCAATCGGCTTTATACAGTTTTATAATGTTGTTTGATAATTCATAACTTTTATATTTATATCTATATACATATACACACACATAAATATACACAAATATATACATACATATACACATACATACACATCTACCTACATACATATATACTCATATAATATGCATACATATACATACATTCGCATATATGCACATTCACATATAAGTACATAAATACATACACATACATACACGTAGACTTTATAAAAAAATTATGTTAAAAAAATTATCGTAACAGTATCAAAATTGCTAAATCTCAAAGGTATTGATAAAGTCGATTTTTCACACATATCGGAACTCTGGCCTTAAGGGAAGGTAAAACATCATCTAGTTTTTAAATTCAATAAATAAAAAAGGCTGTAATGTGATAGACTAGTACATTGAAACTTCTCTCATGCCAAAAACTAGTGAAACTAATTTAAACTCACATTTCAAAAACAAAATTATTTCCATAACAAGCCACTCATTCGAATCGTTATTTCCGAGAACCATAGAATGTAAATTGCTATCTTTTGATGATAGGAAAAACTTTATAATAAACAGAATATCGAAGCGTTATGTTTTCCAGTTCATCAACATTTTAATTCGCTGAAAAAAAAATTATTATCTCGAGCAATTGCATATTCGTCGGGTGGTGGTATAGTAGTATGATTTCAGTAAGATAAAATATTTGGGGCAATGTTCATATGCTTATTATGGGATAATCCATATCAAATATCTATTCTGTTATGGAACATCTACAAATCTTTGGTATTTCTTAGAATGTCTAAATCGAATGCTAATGCAGTGATCCACACCCCCAGGACGGTTGTGACAGTGATAAAAATAGGTTGAAAAACAATAGGAATGAGCACGAAAATGGTTTATAAAGACTTTTATTGTCAGAAATATGGAACACAGCACAACATAATAATTTACATGTTTAATTTATACAAAGTGATCTCTCTGTATACAAGAAACAGTTATTATTAAAAAAATCGAACAAAAAATATTTTTTAGACTCTTTGTAAGCAATGCGTTGTACAAATCATGTTAATGTAGGGCGCAAACTGAATGAAATAGTGGGAATATATTCAAACGAACATACTACATCTTTCTCCCTTTGGACTCTGTATCAAAATCAGTATAGTTTACCTGTTATAGCGATTGTCACTACCTTACCCTGTCACAACCGTAACCAGTAGCCTCTACATATGGAAGATGTGCGCCGCTAAAATAATGCCATCAACGAAAATCTCGAATTTTCCTATTATGGAATTGAATTAACCTATGAAATGTTAGACCGAGATATTTTTCTAGATTGCAAATTTGAATTTCTTTTCTTGTAACGTAAGTTTGCATAACCGTAATACATTTTGCAAGAGCGTATCGGTTCGGTAATGAGTTTTCGGACGTGACCGCTCGCAGCAGGGCAGCAGTACTAGAGTTTTTCTTGCTGCCACGAATATGTATCGAACACTTTTTTATCGTGTAAATTATGCGAAACGATTGCGATAGTTCGTGCGCGACGGACGGAAACATTTCACCTGCACTTAATACTTAACCGCCCGAGCATTATTTGTCATGAACTATGCACGTTTGGCAAGTATGAATGACTCAGTTTTATTTGCGAAATATGTCATTTTATCGAAATTTATTGGAACAAAAACAAGTACTTAATCATAATCATAACAATAGACTGTGCATTATTCTTGTAACCCATGCAACGAGATACAACGCACCTAAACTTTGCCTTCACAGATAATTTATTTTGAGTGTACTTATTCCGCTAATACCAAATTTATTTCAATATATCTTCTTTTGTTAGATTAGTAACTGATCATATTCACTGTCTATTCATTGATCTCATAGTACCACAATAATCCTTTAAGATTGAATTTACTTCTAGTAAATTCGCTAGGATTTTTGATGCACTAGATAATATATGAACCATGTTAATTAATCGAATGAATTATAAATGGTTTAAAAAATAATATTAACATACATTCACATGCCCAGCATACGATCATGATCAACAGATCATATTAAGTATTATTAAATATAAATGAAAAAATATTCAACTACTAAAATAGAGTTGATTACTTTTTCTCAATTTGCGTAGAACATATTTTACTTATGTTCAAACTTGTTTGTATCGTAGACCCATCTTAAGATGGTTTATACCTACTTTCATTTCGCAAAGCCCGACTTTTTTCGTTGATATGGACCTCTTAATCCATACATTACGAAACTTTAACCAATTAACTGTGGCGCCCTCATTGAATTGTGCGCACAGTTTTGTCTCATTAGAATCGAGTAAAATGTTGTTTTTGTAGTATAATTCCACTTACAACTATTTATTTTTTATTGAAACATTGCAATCCAAATAACCACTTGTCAAAGCTTTATACGTATGACAAATATACTTGTCAATACACAAAATTCTGCCACTGCTCCATGACGAGTATATTCTTCAATCTGGTTAAAAATTGTCATGGATCCGTGGGTGTCAATATGAACCTCGTTGGGAATTACGGGTTTGATATGTAGTATCTTAAATTGGCAATATATCAATCAAGTTCAGACCAATTTTGGGATTTATTCTCAATGCGCATGGTCACTGTTCGGACGTATTTTCGTTTTATTATATTGGCCATGAAGGTAACAATCTTCATGGCATTGAACTTTTGCACGGGATGGTTGCTACCGCTGATAGAGGGGGAAGGGCCGAGTTTTAATAGGATTAATTGTACACTCCTAAAAGTAAAGTCCACTTAACAACATGTATAATAAATAATAAATAAATATATCTTCTTTCATTATAACTTAGTGACAAATCAGTGATTAATACAGTCCGCAGCTACAAGGGTTAACATATAACCCAACAACCTCAGTTATCGAAGGAGAGTTCTAATAAATAGGTATGGAACTCACATGGCGGTATACAGTCACATTAGCAATAAAGTTTATCAATTTATTAAATCTTAAATTACAATGGATAACTTAAAAATATCATTCTAGTTTATCTTTTATAATCGCTGAAAGATGCGTTTAAAATTTCCCAGTTTCATAGCACTTTTCCACATATACACAAATGATTAGTAAAACGCGTTTTGAGAAGAATAATAAGAAATATTGGCTTAAAAAAAAGCTTGTGAGATGTAAGAAAAAAAAATTGTAAATTGCCGATATATTCATCATAACTAATTAAATAAATATTGTTACTGGTTTGTAGTAATTTTCATAAAATAGATGAAATAATTTATTACTATTCTATTGCAAACTTGAATATATACCCAGATACAGAAAAATAGATCCATATCAAATTTTCAAGAACGAAGTTTGTAAATCTACATGTAGCTGATATTGCTTAAGATTTGAAGAAAAGCTATCAAATTTGTGACAACACAAACTCATGATAAAATAAAAGCAACATTACACCACCGAAACAAAGCGATTGGAAATATAAATCGCTAAAATGTCCCTTAAATGTCCCGTCGTTACAGATTTTGCGTTTGTGTTAGACAACACTTTGATATGATTTCACTGTTTCGGAACTATTGAAGCGGAAACTAGTAGTGAAATTATATCAGAGACAAAAAAGTTTACTAAAACGAAACAATACGATACAATCGGTGTCTGTTACCACATCGACCCATTATTATAGTAAATGGAAGAATTCCGTAGTATAAATATCGACGAATTGGCAAAGGTAAATCAGTACACTGTGACTCGACAACCGAGCACTGATTGAAAAGTCACAAAGAAGTAAGTCTATATTTGTGTGCATGAAAGAAACAGTGATCTATAATTATATTTACACTTCGAAATATTTGCTTGTGCCAAGAAAATATTCTAAGTTTTGAGTGCCATGGAATACATAAATATCTTGTGATGAGACTCATCCAATAAATTAAGTAGTTTCTCAAGTGATACCAAACTGATCACAGCTGGATTATTTATTCAATAAATAAACCAATTCACATTTATGGATGTTTTAACAGTTATTGTAGCAACAAAATAACGTGTTTAATAGTTATGAGTTGTCATAGTTTTCGACATGTGATATAAATTAAAATAAAATAAAACATTGTGTCAAAATATGAAGCATACATCAAACTTACACCCACTCCTTAATATTTAAAAATTTGATAAACCTTTGAACTTATTTTGATCTAATAAAATAATTTGAATTTGTTGATTAAAAAAAACTTAATATAGATCATCATCGAATTGTAAATCAAACTTTTGGTTTCATAGTATAAGATTTATTTGAATATTAAATTTTTATTAATATTTAGATAAACTAAATCTATTTAATAAAAACAAAAAACCCGTTATTTCCAAAACATTACAACAAAAATTTTACAACACATTTGCAACTAAAACTTATTGATTCTACCAAAATTCAATTAATATTTATTGCTTCTATAAAAATTCAATTAAAATTTATTGCTACTATCAAATTTATTTATTTTTTATAATTATTATTAACTGTTTATTATTGTTCGTTGTCTCCCAGGCTTGAAAATGAGGGGCATACATATGTGGCAATTGGTGGCAGCCACATGCCTTTTGGCGGCCTGTCTGGCTTGGGAGTTTTCGCGCGAATCTGGCGATTTGGTGGTTTCCGCTTCTCATCATAAGTCTAGCCATCATGAGTCTGGTGGTGGCCATGAAGAACATGGTGATCATCACTCATCAGGTGGTGAAAAGGGCGATAAGGGGTACAAGAGTGATCACCATTTTGATAAAGGTAACATTTCAGTAAGAAACATTATTGTCGGCATATAATTTTTTTATTGATTGGTAACAATATTCAGATTGCACTACCAAATTCTGTAATTTTAATAGAGTTGACATTACTGTATTGCCAAATCTTAAATGAAATTAATCCAGTAAGTAATTGAAATTTTTCACTTGCATATATGTGCAGTTAAACTTATTATTTATCAGTAGGTCAAAAACAGAATTTATTGTTAATAAAATATAGGTCTTCAATATGATATCGATCTACAAATATTAAATAAAGTATATTATTTCAGGTGAGCATGGCAAACATGGTAAGGAGCACGACTCTGGCTACTATAGCGACCATAAAGGCCATGAACATAAACATCACGATGACGAAGATCATTACGGTGAGCATCACGAAGCCGCCAAGGGTCACAAAGGAGGTAAATTCGGTGAAAAGAAAGGTCACAAAAAAGGACAGAAGACCACAGGATATCACCACAAGTCCCACAAGGATGAATATCATAAGGAACATAAATTCTACGACGATGCCCACAAAGGTGGACACCACAGCAAACACGGCGATTTCCACTCACATCACTCCAAGAAAGGTGGCGACCACAAAAAGGGTGACCATCATGAGTCCGCTTTCAAACAGGACAAACATGGAAAGAAAGGCCATCATGACAAAGGACATCACGACGAAGATCACAAAGGATACAAAGGCCAACACGGACACGAGTCCCACTATGCCCATCATGAAGACCATGGTAAAAAGGGTGGCGGCTCCGGAGGAAAGGAATACGGTTTCCATGAAGGTGGAAAGAAGCATTAGTGCACTCAATGTTCAAGTTTCGATTTGTTATTTTTTATTTTATGTTTTCGTGCTTAGGCAAATAAAACCCTGTTGAAACAATATTATGCTTTTAATTTATTCGTATGGTTATCGAACATACCAAAATTTATAAAATTAAGAACTAACTACATATTAATTAGCAGAAACGTTGTAAACATATACAATTTAATATGAGGTTACAATATGATAATATATAAAATAGTGCATTTTTATAAAAAACAAGAAGTTTTGGTAGAGCTAATGAAGTCGCCAGCTGAACACTGAATAAACTTAAAGCTTGAAGGTAAAACAAAATCAAAATAATTAAGTTAAACAAAGTAATAACACTAAAAACTCAGTTTTTTTGTAAAAATATATAGTTTAAAGAATTTTATTTAAAACAATTTTGAGTTCAGGTTAACATTACTTTGAAGAAGATTTTAAAAAATCTTCAAAGTTTACTTTTTCGGTATATTTGTTCATACTGTTAATAAAACTGAGATATTTTCTAATTTCCCACATTTCTTATCGTGAACAAAACCGTATAGAAGATAATATTGGCATTCCTCTACCCAATGCACTTACTAAATTGAATTTTAATCAACTTTCATATTTTTGCATATAGGACAAAAAATCTGTTTCATAATTGTCTTTATTAGATTATTTTTATTTATAAAATATCTTTTAGATGGTTTGAGAAAAGAATGACTACGGTTTGAAAAATCTAGAAAAATCTGTTTATAATACGAATAATGTCCGTGTTCAGCAAGGCATATTAACAAGACATTCAATTAGCAAACATCTTTCCCGGTATTGTGTTTTGTGCCGAGAAAAAACACCTACGCGGCAGTAAAGTCAAAAGCACAAAAACCCTCTCAAAATATCAACGAGAGGTGTAATCATCTTTCATCTGCAGACAACACTCCATCAAGTCACTTCATTAAATGTGCTTTTCTCGGGCGCCAGTGTCCCTTTATGTGCTTTCGCCTTCGCACAATGGAAATTATAATATAAATGGCTCGCTTTTGCGCTTGATACGGACCCAACGCTTGCTGCGATAAAGCCGAGATAGAAGAAATAAACTCACGATATAGAAGGCGAGGGGTGGCCACAGTGGAAATGTTTGGACGACACGTAAAAGCCAGGATTGAAAAACCAGAAGAAAATCTATTAATAATTATTTTTAAATGATTTATGTGCCGACCGATTTTGTTAAGTTAAGAAGACATAATGTAGTTGCATGGGGTTTTCTTTTTGTAAAATGTAAATTAATTAACTTCCCGTATGGCAAGTTATAGTAATCGCAAAAAAATCGAAAATGAAAATTTTTATATATCTTCACGTTTCAAAACCTTCTGAACATTTTGGCATACCTTAGAAAAAATGGATGTGTGCGTGTGTGCGGATACAAATTTTCGTCGACGATTTCGGGAAAACGGATGAAGCGATTTGAATAATTCAAAAAACATTCGATTCAAATTGATAAGGAGACGTGCTGATTAGTTTTTGACGAAGGCAGGTCTAGCCATTTCAAAGATACGGGGTAAAAAGTGCCAAAAATAGTAACTCGGTTTTTAAGAGAGCGGAGCGTCCGATTTTAATAATTCAAAAAGCATTTTACTTGTATTGACAAGATGAAGAATTGATCAAATTTTCATGAAGGCAGGTCTAGCGGTTTCGGAGATCTAGTGAAAAAAGTAAAAAAAATGTCATTTGGCGGCCAAAAATGATCATTAGACATATGCACATCAAATTATCAGATATTTTACAGAGATTTTAATAATAAGTATAAATTTTGTTTACATTCTTCTGGGTTCCGTACCAATGTTTATCCGTTAGACGGCGACGGGGCGCTTATGCGCTTTGACTTTTCGTCTCTATGCAGTTAAAGCAGTACGATTGCTTTGAAAAAAAGTTCAGAATTTCCAAAATATGTCAAAATAAAGAAAAATTTTTTTAAAAAAAAAGTAATTTTTTGTCAAATTTATAGTTTCTCAAAAATCTAATTTGTTCGAAGTAATTTTTTTTCAACAATGTTAATCTTTTTAAAAAAATAATAATTTTTGGCACGGGAAGTTCCAGCAAATTGCCTTAAGGCACGATGTCATGCGCCCCACTAGTTAAAAATTATTTTCTTTACGATGAAGTTGGTTACATTAAATAATTAACATTTTTATCAGCTTGTCAGCTTTTTGATATAAAGGAACAACTGAACTTTTTGAGAATGTTTATTTTTGTTATTAAATTAACAGCAGTTAGAACTTAAAGTGACATATGAGCCATTGTAATGATTTCTTAATGTCGTGGCTTTATAGATGGCAACTCAACCGTTCAGCAATCCGGGTAATATGCCATTTGCTCTTGAAAATATATTGCCATCTATATTTTCAAGTAAAAAAAACAAATATCACTATTGCTCTACAGGCATTCCAAAGCAGATATCCAATCTGAAACCTTTGAATGCAAGCCCATAGCCCTAACCATTAAAACATGGCAATGCCGCTTGCAAATATGTATGAGAAATATATTCTACAGGACAAGTATAAACTTTCCATTAATGAGCATTTGAATGCAACAACAAATAGATCAAGCAGGACTAAAAGTAAAAGGGCAAAAAAGAATGCATCTTGAGCAAAATAAAAAATATAGGGAATTGAAAGTGCAGGACTCGTAAGCACACAAACAAAACTTTGGAAAGCTGACTAGGAACATATATCGTGAACAAAACTTATACTCATTGAAAATGTTTTTTTTTTAACATCTCTACCATGGTATTCTATCCCTGCCTAGTTTTCTAGTGGAAGCAGAGGAAGCGCTAAAGTTGGGGTGTGTGGTGTCGATGTCAAACACTTGACTATAGATAGGAAGGCTGATATAGAAATCAATCCACTAAAGCTATTACTATGTTCCCACGAATCAGGATATAGATTCAATAAGAATTTAAATGATAAATGCTTGATTTTCCAATTAAAAAGCCCCAGTTTATATCAAATAGTATTGAATATTTCTCGCACATTATGTTGGTAAATAATATACTGAATTACATTTTTTATTGGTTTACTTCGAAGACTAGAAAGAGCAAAAATTATCTATTATAAAACTTTATAATATTATAATATTGTGATTAAATAAAATATTTTAACAATTTCTTAACTTCCCGAAGAGAAAGTTCATGTTTTCACGAACAAGTCGCCTTGTGTATTTTAAAATAAATTAAATTACGAATTAATCCATAGAATTGAATAATTTGCAATAGTTTTTTACATTTTAATGCTCTACTATACTACTATACAGTAACTGGGAATACATATAAATCGTACAATCATAATCGGTTCAGAATTTTATTTGATTTAAATGTTAATTTTAAAACTATTCAAAGTGGATGATAATCATTTTAAAGATTAATATTTTCAAATAACATGATTATATACTTAACACGAATGTATTAAAAATATTAGAATTTAAATTTTAATTACAATTATAATTTTTAACCATAAGTTGTAATTCAGTATCGAAGTATCATACCCATAGCAAATAATAACCCATAATCCTCTTAAAGGTTTAACGACTTTTTCATAATACGATTACAAATTTGAACGAGTAATGAATATCGACAAAAAAGAAACAAGTATCGGTTATAAGTGTTTCCTCAGAAATGCATTTTTTAATTGTTTAACATGATTTGAATTACTTTAAATTATTTTTTTTTGCTTTCTCTTGGCTTCTTAAATGGGATGCATTAAGATCAATAGCTAGAGGTGAATATCTGCCTAAGACTTTTGAAAACGGATTAACATAATACTTATATTAGAGTATCCTGATTAAAGCTAAGTAATAGCCAAGAAGGTAAACCTTAAGAATTTTGAAGGCATTTGAAAAAAGATTTATAATTTTTGGAGTGCGCTATTTAGTTAAATGATAAAAATGCACGATGAAGCACACGAACTATTTAAAAAGAAGTAGTGCCGGTCATTAGAAAATTCATGTAACGAATGCAGAGGATATCTAGCCTGTAAAACGCTTCATATATATTAGCAGTAGCCATAGACGTACCACAAAACAGAGATATTTCTGATAGAATTAAAAGAAAGCTGAAAGAAAAAGCTGAATATACACCACCATCAATACTTAAAGACCTAAAGCCTCTCGTAGTGATATATACTTTTTTAATAAGACAATAGGGTAGAGCGGAGCTTAAAGATCATATTTGTTTGTTCCATATTGTTACTTTTACTTGTTTTGATGCAGTTGGTTTGGTCTTCACAATAAAATTACCCCCGTCCTACCCTTCTATGGTCTAAAAGTAGAATGGAACTAGCTGTAAGTGGAATTCTGTCTTAAGGCAATTAAAGCATCGTGCCTTAAGGCAAATTGCTGCAACTTACCGTACCAAAAATTATTATTTTTTTAAAAATGATTGACATTTTTTAAAAAATTTTACTTCATAAAAATAAGATTTTTGAGAAACTATAAATTTGACAAAAAATTACTTTTTTTTTGAAACAAAAAATGTTTTCTTTGTTTTGACATATTTTGGAAGATCTGATTTTTTTTTCAAAGCAATCGTAATGCTTTAACTGCATACGGACAAAATATAAAGCGCGTAAGCGCCGCGTCGCTGTCTAACGCATAAGCATTGGTACGGAACCCATAGGAATGTTAACAAAATGTATACTTATTGTTAAAATCTCTATAAAATATCTGATAATTTGATGTGCATATGTCTAATGATCATTTTTGACCGCCAAATGGCTCATTTTTTTTACTTTTTCCTCCATATCTCCGAAACCGCTAGACCTACTTTTATGAAAATTTTATCGATTCTTCATCTTGTCAATACAAGTGAAATGTTTTTTGAATTATTCAAATCGGATGCTCTCTAAAAACTTAGTTACCGTTTTCGGCATTTTTTGCCCCGTATCTTCGGAACGGCTAGACCTGCCATCGCCAAAAACTAATCAGCACGTCTCCTTATCAATACGAATCGAATGTTTTTTGAA